AAGAACCTCATACCTCCAAAGGAGGTCACTGAGCCAAAATTGCGGACGTTTCCCGCCCAACAGCAGTCACTAATACCTCTGGTAGATGGGGGAAGCATTATAGATACCTCTCAGCTAGTAGAGCCGGTCTCGCTGGCTGGGTGGGACTGATGGTAAGCACCAATACCGGTAGGATATAGAGACTGATAGAAATCATAGAGGGAAGCACAATGGACCACTACAGGTCTAAGTGCATGGGGAAACCCACCCTCTCCAATAACCAACTAACTAACTACATGCGCACTAGTGTTCTCTCTTCAGTAATGTCTCCTGGCAACGGATTCATAACAGTCTCACTGTAACTTCAGATCACACACGAAGTCATCTTTCTATCGCCTAATCCCTTTCTTGCCGTTGTTCTGCAACTGCCAACTCAGTTAAATTCCAACTCATATCCTAGCAGGCTGGCGTCTCGAAACTCGACTGTCCACTCTCGACTACTGTTCTGTACTGCCGGACATTTCTTTATAACCACTTTGCAAGTACCACCAAGAAAACAACCTATATTGTTGAGGCATGTTTACCGCGCCGTTGCCTATTGTCCTATTGTCGCGGGCGTTGACTCCCGCGGGAATGGTTTTACCGAGTCGTTGCCTAGCAATGAGTCTATAAGTCACAATGTTAGTCTGTGCAGTTGAATGGAAGAGACCACTTGGAAGACCTGGATAAAGACTTACGGTGTCGAATATTGGCTGGATTATTTGGTTCACAGGCTAGGGTCCGTCGGCGGGCTCTTCTGGTTCCATTAGAGGAGAGAAATTCCTTAATTAGCTGAGCGACTGTTCATTTTGTAGGGCTGTGTTCCGTGGCCATGCGGTCTAAGGTATGAACTGTCTTCGCTCGCTCGGACGCTGGGATCGTAGGTTCGAATCCCATTCGGTATGAATGTTTGGTGTGTGTATGCGTTTATTCTGTGTCTGTGTTGTCCTGTGTTCAGGTAGCGGCATTTCGACGGGCTGTTCACTCGTCCAAGGAGTCCTGCCATCAGAGAAAAATGATTACGGAATTGAATAAGAGACCTGGGCTCTGAATGGGCCCAGAGAGCCAACGAAAAAAAAAATGTTATATGAAGTTGGTGTCTGGTGGGCACAAACAGTGGATGCCATGTAGGTAGTGCTGTTTTCCGGGATGTACCAATTAATTTAACACTTGATGATGGTTCTTCTGTTATTATGTGTATGTGGCAATCGAAACCAACTTTGTCGCACGATGCACAAGCCCATTTTTGCCGTCTTGAAGAAGTCCGTACTATTTTGATTGCTGGTGGTGTGTCGGCAGGGGCGGGGAAGAGAGCCGTTGTAGAAACAATGGCATTTTACAATTGCAATGAATAACTTCTGGGAAGTCCGTGCCATAGCTCAGGTGGTTACTCGCCGGCTTCCTACACCAGCGGCCTGGGTTCGATCTCATGTCAGGGCATGTGGGATTTGTGGTGGACAAAGTGGCGCTGGGGCAGATTTTCTCCGGGTACTTTTGTTTACCCTGCCAGTTCTCATTCGACCAAAATACCGCGTAGTTATCTATCATCCGGGGCTGGTACAGTAGGTTAATTAGTGGCCGACGTACCAAGTGGAGTCTCTCACCCCACCCCACGAAAAAAAATCTCCTGAGAAGGCTGGGCACTTGTGGAATGAATCTGTAACTTTAGGGTTTAGTAGTCGCTCCGTACATTGAAGGCTGCGATGATGGAACCTGGTGCTGTCATCTGCCCCCCCCCCCAACATTAATAGCATTACGAGGCCTGTATAATGATCCACTCCAGACCCCCGCTTCACCCTCACTTTGATGATGGGCGCTGCGAGGTACACCGAACAGCTTCAACACTGGACGCAGCTAAACCCCGAAAGCCGCGATAAACACTTGACACAGTGCGGGAAATAGTGAACCTGAATGTCATTGCTTGCAGTTCGTGGGGGCCGAACTGCAGTCGCTGTTTCCACATCACGCTGAGGTCCAGGAACGTGCTGCAGGTGCGCACTGAGGGGCTGGACAAGTGCTACACGAACGAGGATGCTGCGGAGGCGACATGTCCTGACGAGAACAATGCCCAGTTCAAGGACATCATTCTCTACAGTAAGTCATCTTCATCCCAGCTTGATTCATAATACAAATAGGCATTGTCTTGATGAATCGGGAAGTTCCGGATTTCCCCTTCCGAAGTGCTTATTTCATGTGGACATGTAATTTTAAAGCGCAAATAACGGATTTTCAGGTGCTACAAAGTATAAAATACGTGTATTTTTCTTTGATATGCCTTAATAGTGAAATGTATGACCTAAAAGTCGAAAATATTTATTATAAAGATCCTTTATTATATATAGTAAAGTTGTCCCTGTGTTTAACTAATTAAGTATTAAGCCATGAAGGCGTATGGGGGAGTGGATTTATAGAGCCACATTTTCTTCACCTCGGCACTATTTGGAGGTGAATGATCAGCTTCACGCCCCGGCCGCTTAACCTCCGGGAAAGATCCCTCGGTACCCATTGGATAGGAGGCTGGGTGGGCCCCAGAGCCGGCCTGGACGACATGGAGAAGATAAAATTCTTGATCCTACCGGGACTCGGTCGTCAAGCCTGTAGCTAGTCTGTATACCTACTGCGCTATCCCGGCTCCTTTATTACACACAGTACTCACAAAGAATTGTCTGTATCTAAAAGAGAAAGTGAACCGCTTTTGCATGGAACAAAGTCATCTTCAAGTTTTGTGTCGTAATCCGTATCCGTTATCCCGGAAGAGTGCTTTGTACTATTTTTTATTGTCTATTTTAACTGCAAATTGGTTTTTACCCGGTGACAGTGGTACTACAATAAGACACAACACACATGTAACACACCACACTCAAAGGAAACACAAGACACAAGACTACACAAACAATAAAGGACACACTATGCACAATGAATACAATGCAAATACAATTACAACTACAATTATATAAATTAATATTAATAAAAAGATAAGTACACTATACACTAAACAGTAACAGTAATGAAATACGTAATGTCATGATCTGATGCGTCCACATTTCACCATGACCTTCCCTTCATTCCACTTCACTACACTTACGTAGCCTTCACATCCTCACCACAGTTTACTTCTCTTCACTTCACTTCACTTCACTTCACTTACGTACCCTTCACATCTTCATGTTCCACATCACATGATACCAGTCTTGCATTCTCGTAACACACGATGTCACAGTCAAGTATGTCAGATCTTCAACATCTACCAGGTCCTCCTCTGAACACTCGACATGACTCAAAACACGTTATTCTTTCTGAACTCAAAGGGAATTTTGTTTCACTGCATCAGTTTGGGAGCCGTTCTCATTATTCGCTCTATTAAACGTCGTCTGTTCCTTTTATTGTTTCTGAGAACATATTTGTGGCCAAGTCGGTTTTCATGTCTTCCTTTCGTTTGTGTCATTAAATATTTCTTGGAGCATTGCAATAAGAGGAATATCACATTTGTCAGATTAATTTACCACATAACAAAGATTTCAAAGTTCACAATATTGTCACGATTTTAGAGTGACTGTAGATGGGTTTTGAATTGATAATCGGACTTACTGGACTCTGATACAGCTCGTGACCACGCTTTGCAATTCACTATTACACTAGTGTTAACAGTGACGACTTCACTAGCCGTTGCTCAGTAGCGGCTTCCAACGATGGACTTTCCCCTTCCTCTTGATTCCCTAAATATCCCCTGCCTGAGCTACCATTTTCTCACAGCAACAGCTCACTTACTGAACCTCAGCAGCTCTGACTAGCTCACTGACTCAGTCACTCATCAACCAACTCATTGCTCCAACTGTCGACTCTCCACTAACTGTCACTATCTTGCTTATAACATCTCTGCATGAACCCCACAGAGAACACCGTTCCTTTTATGCTGGTTCCAGTTGTTGCCGTGCAAATATGGTTGTTACTCAGTAACGGCTGTTGTATAGCTGCTTCTTTCGCGGTCGTTGCCTAGCAGCGGGTCCACATCCACAATATAATAACACAGTGTGATTGTACTAGGTTCAAATCCCGTGTGGAGGCGGGGTCGAATACTTCGACCTATCCTTGCGAGTCGTAGGAGGCGACGAAAAGGGAATCCAGTGCCTGGGTGTATAAACGGACCATCCTGTTCATAAGGAATATAAATACGGGAACATGGCCCTCCAGCTTGGGGGAATATAGAATCCGATAGAGTAAAATGTGGTCTTGAGTCTCTCGGGACTCGGACCTGAGAATGACTGCACTGGTGAGGACCGGCTGCAATTGTAAACGACAGACCCATGCTCTCCTCAGAGACGATGTTACATAAGGACTATTATTGCAAGCGTTCAGTTGAAAAAAAAATTACTGGTCGTCAGTCTCAAGGGGCTTGTCAAGACGAACTGGTTGGCGGTAAACCGCCAGTCATAAAGTAAGTGTGACTCTGAGACTAGGTTCCAAAACATGTAATAGTACCTAGAACTGAAAGGAGGGATGTATTTGGAGCTTCGCTCTTAAGTAATAAGAAGGGCCAAAAAGAGCCACGAAATGTAATTCAACATGTGGACGGAGTTACATTGAGACGGTGAAGTGAGAACCCTAAAATTGAAAGAAATCTTCTAGCTGGCGATTTCACAGAGATTTTGTTTCCTTTTGCCACTCGTTTCTCTCCATTTGGATAAAGCTCACGTTTCGGCTCCTTTGCAATCTACTCTCATTTGATCGGCTACATCACAGCCCGTCGCTGTACCGACTGAGCTATCCGGCTTCCCTGTTTTTCAAATAGGATTAATTTATTTAACAAATTCGGGATTAAGTCAGTCCGACGCATGTCTTATTTCAGGGACTGTTCCCGAAAATCGGTGACTAATCGTCACTTTACATTACGTCAGATGTCGCATCATCTAGTCATAGCTTCAGTGAAAACACGTGCTATTGTTCGTTTCACTGCAGACATTTCCTGGCATGACAGAAGATGGCGTTTGATCGTTTTACAAAAGTCCAGTAACAACATCTGCGCAACCTTCCACCCGTTTGGATAAGTTGTTATGTATACGGTAAAAAGATAAATTTGCTCCTGTTCTTAATTAATTAAATACTATCCCCATGATGGGGCGTGGAGGTATATCTCCATCATTCTTGACCTCGGTACTAGATACAGGTCAGTTGTCAACTTTACGTCCCGGCCGCTTTAACTCCTGCGAAAAGAGCCCCCAGTATCCATTGGATAGCAGGGCGGGTGGGGCCCCAGAGCCTGCCTGGACACAGTGGAATAGAGAAACATCTCTTGCCTATGCCGGGAGTTGTACCCTGGTTGTCCTCCTCGTACCCCGTACCCCATCACTGTACCGACTGAATTATCCCGGCTTCCTCTTTCGTATGTGGACATCCACATGTGTTCTTTCCCGTACAATATTGGAATTTTGTTCCACGTTTCTTTTTAGCACTCCATTAGATAGTTCTAAAAACCTCACTCTGCAGGAATACGCATTCTAAAGATCCTTAACTTAAGGAATATTCCTTTTGAAAGGTGGTATGTCTTTGTACAGGGATAATTTCTACATGTCTGTCCCGTAAATGGAAGATTTGGAAGGCACTTATAGCAGAAGACTCGCCAATTATAGTCCGCATACCTGGTCGAAAGGCGGCAGTATGCTAACTTCAGCTTCAGTGTTGTGTAAGGTCAGAATGTTGCTGTGTGACGGCAGTTTTTCAACGTTCCTTACAAAAGAGAACTTCACATCAGAAGTGAGGACATCCTCGAATTCACTTGCATACTGATGTAAACGGGAAGTGGAAATTGTAAAGTAATCTGAACTGCTTTGTCTGTCAGGTAGGTTGGTCCTCATCCTAACCGGGTGATGGAATAGGGGCTCGCAGTCTGTCCTTTCCCTCATTTTTGCCTTCTACCGTTTTCTTGCTTTTGTAACATTTTCTTCTTTATCTCATCTTCATATTGATTTTGACAGGTCTTTATGTGCAATTATTGTGTTTTTGGACATTATCCATTGTCCTGGTTTTTTATTTGAAACGACGTTTCCGAGACTGGATTGGGACAGGGGCCAGGTCTGTCGATTGAGGCCAACTGAGTAGGTTTTTTCCTGAGGAAGGTGACAGCATCCAGTCTCCGGGACGTTGCTTTGAATAAAAAAACAAGATGATGGTTAATGACCAGAACCAAATTAATTGTATTAATATATGTAATCGGTGTAGTGTCTCAGTTAATTTCAGCCCCATCTATAAACTAAACATTCGTGGTTATTTGGTCCAACGTTACGATTACTTTGACGATGATGGAGCGAACGGAGGGATAGCCATTTTAGTTAAGCACTGTGTCTGTTCTGCTTCTCTTAACCTATATACTCCACTACATGCCACATCTATTCGCTTCACGTACTACATCTTTCATGTACTCTATGTGATATGTATTTGCCACCTAGAGTTGCTACTGCTCCAGCAGACCTGATTAACCTAACATCTCAGTTGCGTCTTCTGTTCTTTGTGACTACAGCGTAAAGAATACTCTTTGGTTACCAGTCCGTAATGATGAAAGGGAACGAATTGTTTCCAATGCTTGTGATTAGTTCGATTTACACCTTTTAAACTTAGATGCTGCAAAGCACCTCAACCTGGTTCAGGAACCGCTTCAGCTCTGGATCTGTTGTCGGTGGCTGGAAGTCCACCTTGTATGGTCCGTCCTTACCGATTTGCGTTGTAGTCACAACTGCGATCCCGTGATCTTGCACATTCCCACGATATGCCCCATAATATCCCGACACCCGAACTGGATCATTGGACGTGGAAACATTTCTCTTAGACGGCGAGTTTGAGGGCCGAGAATTTCCATCAGTCGATTTCACGGTGGAGTTTCACATCCCACGATGGTCTGATATATCTCATCGCGGTGCACAGATGAATGCTAACCACGACCCTTTATTCAAACTCTTAAATGACAGTTCAGAACACTGCCTGTAAACTTTGCCTCCCGACTTCGCAGGGCTGTGTAATGCAGGGTTCAGTTAGCAGCTTTAGGTAGCTGTCACAGCACATCGCCAAGCCGCGACTGTGCCGGTAATCAGATTCTCTCTCTCTCTCTTCCTCTAACAGAGATTGGATTCCTAATCACACATGGTCAGAGAACTCCTTCCAATCAAACCCTCGTGTGAAGAGCTCCGTTTCAAATGCGAACAGGCATTTATAACATTATAGAAAATATGTCCTGGGACGGATGCTTCGACTTTACCGTGCCATGATCCGCTCTAAGATGAACTGTGGCAGCTTCATTTATGGCTCCGCAACGGAGTCTAAATTGTCCACAACATCTTGATTGTTCTTGTCATTGTCGCCTTCCGCACTGTCCCTCCGGACAGCCTACATGCGGTATCTGGAGAACTCCCACCCTTCGAAGGAATCTCCCATCTCAGCAGGTATGGGGAAAAACTGTCAACATATCCCTGTCACCCGTCATATGGTGCGGTTTTTCACCACACCTGTCGCAGCAGGTATGAGTTGCATTTCAGGTCCCCTCGACCTCTGTTTATGCGCTTTCACCACCACCTCGAGTGACCTCGAGCGTAGCTGACATCTGCTTGCCATGTATTATTCCCAGTAAACTTTGGTCATGTCCCAAGTAGGTCCGTCATGCGTCCAACCTCCAACTTCTCAGACACGTATGAGGCAAAAATATCTGCCTTATATATTTCCGGCTTTTTTGTTGACCTCACCTCCACTTTCATTTTGACATTTCGACGAAATAGATATTGTATCGGTTTGGAATGGCAGCGAAACTTAAATATTTTCAGTAGGTGATAATTGTTTAAGTATTAATAACATTTGTCATATTGCTATAAGAATCGAAGACATGTTGGCCTACAGTGATTTAGCTTAGCCATCCAGAAGAGTGTACATCAAAACATTGATTTTATTGAAATGTTTAAATATCCTCGGATTATATAAATTAAGAAAATAATTAACTGAACTGAATCGATTATTATATTTGTAAACCCCATTGATCTTCTGTTGTACGTGTAAAATCAGTTAGTTGATTGTTTTTCACGGAAGTTGCAATTCTCTATACAATATTGCGTTGAAATTTCCGAAAAATAATACTTCCAAAACATTTTTCACTCACACACATGCATGCACACACAGAACTTCGGTCTGTTTTGTTGTTTAGGTTGCAAGATATATTTCGTCAGAATACATAACGTTTTATACTGTGCTACAATATGCATATTCTGAAAACAAGGAACACAAAATATTTAATGAAATCAGTCGTCATTGCGACGTGCTATGGGCTGGACGGCCGGAGTTCATTTCCTTTCAAGGGGCTAGATATTTTTCTCTTCACCATAGTATCCAAACCGGCTCGTGGGCCCACCCAACCTGCTAACCAGTGGGTGCCGGGGCTCATTCTCCGGAATAAACCGGCCTTGGCTTGAACCTCCATCTAGTGCCGAGGTCCACTTCCTCGTGCTTATTTATTGCGTGGTGCATAATTACTTATGCACAAGGTAAACTTCACATTTACTTTTACTGATCCAGCTACAAAATCGAACTTCCTTACTTTACAACCAGCCAAGTGCCTCAGGATGTGATACTGTGCTGCCTGCTCAGGTTTATCACGTACCTCAGTGGGCGGTTATAGATGAATACGTAACAATGACGGAATGAAGATTAACTGAGGAAATCGGAAGAAACTGCTCCGGCGCCACTTCGTTCACTACAAATTTTACATGACGTCACTCGGGTCTAAATTCGAGGCCAGCACCGAGCCAAAGAGGTATGGCACGGCTCGATACATCTGTGCTACACAGTGCATTGCACATAGGATGCTTCTGTGACGAACATTCTTCCAGTGTTGAATCTTTATGATCCTGTGGCAGTGAGTGAGTGAGTGAGTGAGAGAGAGAGAGAGAGAGAAAGGCCATTAATGAGCCCCTTATTTATTCATTGCCAAGGTGTAGCGTGTGAGAGCAAGCTCAGAATGCAGTTGCATACCGATATTTCGATTTTCTATTCATATTTTTTTACAGATTGTCGTGTTTCCCTGTAAAAAGCAATGAAAGTTACTTCGTGGTCAAACTGGAGCTGAATGCTTGCGTAGAAGCATGTAACGTGTTTCCGCCTCTCTGGGACGATGCTCATTTCAGCGGATGCCCCTTGGCGGAACTTATATAAGAGATTATATTGTTTTTGTGCCGGTATCTGGCTGCTTTCTACCGCATCTTTCACTGCTCTACCTGAATATTGTACAGTAGAATAAACTGTTGTATTTTTTCTGCCATTATATTTTTCCTTTGTGTTTAACAACGCCGTATAAATTGCAGGTATCATATAGCGTCAAATGGGAAATGATAGGACGACGTCAGTTACGAGTTGATAAGGATGCAAGGCTAGACCGTAATGATCTGTTTCAAGATATAGGACGGGATTTGCCTGGAGGAGCCGGCCTGGCGAAGTATGCGCTGTTTGGCCCTGCCGTCATTTCGAAATAGAAACATCAAACTTTCTTACGGTCGCAAAATAACTTGACCGAATTATTACGCATGGAATGGAGAACCGCCGACGAATAAAAACGCACGGAATGGTGGACTGCCAATGAATGAAGGGACCGCAGACGAACGCAGGGACCAAATTCTGAAAGCATGTAATGGTGGACCGCGGACGAATGAAAGGACCGAATTCTAGACCCGTGGAATGGTGGACCGCGGACGAATGAAAGAACCGAATTCCAGACCCGTGGAATGGTGGACCGCCGTGCGCTACTAAACTGTTTGGCCACATCCTGTTCACACGAGTCTCCTTCTGCCTTCGGTGATACCACCTCACGGTTGTAATATTGAGGGCGGATTAAATTTGTCAATTAATTAATCAAAAGGGGCACGCGGTAGCGTAGTTGGTTGAGGCACAGTGCTACAAGCCGGAAGATTTCAGGTTCAATTCCAACGTCATTGAATTTTGCAATTGACCTGAACCTTCCAGCCGCACTATGACCCTGTGGTCGACTCGGTCTCTAACAGAAATGAGTACCAGGAATCTTCCTGGTGAGTAAAGGGCGGCCGGCTGGCTCGTAAGGCTGACAACCTCACCACCATCTGTCAGCCGATTGTCTAGAAATTGTGGGAGCCTTCACGTCTCACAACCCTATGGGCCTCCACAGCCTGCTGCAGGGATAACTTTACCTCGTACCTTAATCGGAGGGTTGAGCACCACGATACTGATGAAACGAAAACGCATTAATTGTGCAGGTGAAAGGGCAATAAGAGCTATAACTGGGGTTGTTCATATGAGATTCCTCTGGGTAAGACGTTAAACTCGATCAACTCGCCAGGAATCTGCCGGTCGAGATGCCGCACTGTACACTTAAGTCTATTTCATTTACTTAGAACCACAGCACTTCAGTAAAGTGCAGTGAAATTCTAACCACATATTTTTGGTATTTCCTGTTCCAAATTTGCATGTGTAATATATATGTGTATTTATATACATATATGCACTTTTATACGTTTAATTATTATTCAGTAGATGGTGAAAAAAGGTAAAGATATCCCTGTAACGGGCCGTGAAGGCCCATAGAGTTGTGAGACGTCGAGGCTCCCACATTTTCTCTAGAAAATCGGCTCGCAGATGGTAAAGTTGTTAGCCTTACGCGCCGGCCGTCTTCTACGCCCAGGAAGATTCCAGGTACTCGTTTCTATTAGAGGCTGAGTAAACCCCAGGGCCATAGTGCGGCTGGAAGGATTAGGTAAAGTGAAAAATCGACCATACTGTGACGCAGTTCTAACTGAAATCCCATATTCTGAAGCCTTTAAATCTCGTGGGCGAGGCAGGACGTCTTCACACCAAGCTCCCGAAAATTAATCGCCGGCCGTTACTGTCACCGCCCAGATTTCTTGACACCTTCAGCTCCCAAAAATTTCTAATCAGAGCACCGTAAACCTATTACACAGTACGAGATGACTATGGCCTAATAACATCCAATGATGTATTCCAAACAGTAATTTAATAATAACATAATTATAAGTAAATGTCTAGCAATAGTATTGATTAAATTAATAATATTGTCACGTGTATCAGTGACTGTAGACGGGGGTTTGGATTGGATGATTTAATTTATCGACTCCTTATACACACAACTCGGGAATGTAGAATACAGCCCTGTCGCTGATTTATACACATGACTGTTCACCGTTACGTAAGCACTAGGGTTCTCATTCTTCAGTAGCCGTATTCTGGCAGCGGATTTATATAAATCTCACTGTCACTTCAATCACACATGGAGTCTTCTTTTGACAAGACTAAGCCCTTTCTTGCCATTATCCTGCTGTTGCCAATTCCGAAAATTCGACTCAGTTCAATTCCTCTGTTATCCTGACAAGCTGGCGTCTGGAAACTCGACTCCTCAGTTCACTTTATGCTGCTGAACACTTCTTTATAACCACTTTCCGCGGACTACGCAGAAAACACAGCTTCCCTGTTGTTGAGAAGGCTTGTTTACTGACCCGTTATCTAACAATGGGTCTGTACGTCACAGTATGATCAGTCAAAAGTGCCTGGTTAGCGTTTGTTTAGCGAATTCTTTACTAAAAGTGTGTAGTACTTTAACCTGAACTGTGTTAGACGAATAGTTAGTTGCAGATAAACGTTAATCGGCTTATTTTTAGAATCCTTCAGTCTTACCCTGTTACATGTTATACAAAATACCCACTTCAAACAAAGGTCACACACAGAATTGTCTTATCAGCACACCATTTTGCTTTATAAAGATTATGAGATTCAAAACTGCCAATGGGTACCCTATTACTTAACTACTAACTGAATATTTAGCCTGTTCTTAATTAACAAATTTGAATTAGCTTACTATCCAATGGGCGGCTGTTTTCCAAGGGGTAAAGTCGCAGGGGCATGAGGCTGGCCACTCACCTGCATCTAGAGTTGAGGTTATGAATGATGGAGCTATACATCCACTCCCCCATAAGTCTTCTTGGCGTGGTGCTTAATTAATTAAAAAAAAGCCCAGGGATAATTTCACTTTCGCCTTTTACTTGGAGGAAACTAACCGTTGGTGACAACTTTGCTGGACGTGCCCATAATCTGCTTTGTAACAGTCATATCACCCCTGTCGTCGTCCTCACCCACAAGCTTGCATTCTTGTTGCCCATGACACAACCACAGTATCCGGTTCACCCTGGGATACCGAAGGGTCACCCAGAAGCGTCGTGGCTTCTGTACCTCCCTCAGTTGATCTGGGTGGAGCACTGGGAGCCCATCGGAGTTATGTCTGTTGACACCTAGAGGGGGAGACGGCCCTCTGGAATAAGTATGCTACCTGCAATACGTGAAAGCATAGGAAAACCCGACACGGGAGTGCAGTGACCAACGAATCCTGTACACCATCCGGTTTCTGGGTTTCTTGCTCCAACTGGATACTCCGCTCTCTCCTGTATTCACTTCTGAATCGTTACCTCTAGGAACCATTGAACTAGTTGGATTTCTCTTCCACGCAATCCGCCGAGCTACCTTTGAAGTTGCGAACCCACAGCTCTTGCCTAGTAAAAATCCAGCATGAGGAATTATCTTCTGGGGAATCCCTTCCCGGCATTTCTCGAGAAATTTGTATGTTTTTCCGAATCCCGAGAAATCTGGAAAACGGAAAAGATGATCTGGCATCCCTCATTAAACTTTTAAGCAACGTCAGTTGTTATATGGGGTGGAAGAGCACGGCTTTTTTGCTTTGGCAGACAAGAGTGAAATAGCTCAATTAGCAGAATCATTAATGGAAAGGCTTTAAAGGAAAATGTGCTTTAACGGAAGGAAATGCAAAGAGGAGACGTGAATGTTGCTGGGGAATACTCCGATATGAGATCAGAAACTGATCTAAACTCTGAATTAGCAACAGCAATGTCAGTTTCATCAGCAAAACAAAAATGAGGGCAAGCAGACAATATTTTCATCCTTTAAAAGGGAAGTGAACAGTCTGTTGCACCTGATCACGCTGGTTCGCTCGCGGATTTCTTCTTGTCTTCTACCCTGAAGATGGAGGTGATACGTTCCTCCTAAACATCGGTTAACATAATATCTACACGTCGCCACATCCCAGAAGACTGCTTTCTTCAGAAACCGTACTGGTTGCTTAGTTATATTGATAACTCTGATGTTAGCAGTGAGTGTTCGCTTGTGTCTGAAGGAATTGGCAGTGAAAAGACAGACCGTTCCCTTTCTATTCCGGCCGAAATCAGTGCTTGGGAAAGTTACCATAGGAAAGGGGATGTGTGTACGCTTGGAAAAAAAACTGGTCTGCGCTCTTTAACACAGAAAATTGTAATGCAGTTATCTATCTGTATGATTTCATCACAGTTCCAGTGATATTCAAGACAGCTAATGACCCATGTTTATTTGAAACAATTATCGTGAATACAAATATGTGTTTGGACATTATCCATCGTCCTGTCTTTATCTAAAAACACTGTCCTGTTTATTTTTCAAAGCAACGTTTCGGAGACTGGATTCTGTCTCCGTCTTCAGGTAAAACCTACCCAGTTTGGCCCAATCGATAGCGCTACTTTCTATCTCCGGACACCTGTGCCAGCCCCAAGATGGGGCATGCAAGCCAAACAGCACAGACCACCTGCGAGAGATAAGAAAACATTAAATTATTAAAACTCCGAAACGTTTTGAAAAATAAACAGGACCGTGTTTTTAGATGACAGGACGATGCATAATGTCTAAAAACATAATATTTGTACCAATGTACCATCGTCACAAACTTTAAATCTTAAATGATTCGCTTTACGCCTGGATTAATTCTGTAACGAAGTGCATTCGTTTTAAAATCCAGATTAAGAAGGGAATGGCATTTTCGATTTTAGAATTTAAACAGCACTAGTCCCAAAACAAGTTATATGAAGTTAAAGCCAAAGTTGTGTTCAGCTTGCTCAATTTATTTTACATGTATTGTGAAATGTAGACCCATTTCTAAGCAACGCCAGAAATACGCGCACGCAACAATAGAAAAGGTATTGGAAGAAGTGTTTTCTAAGTGGTCCGTCCCATGCCCAGTGTTAGGCAACGGGCCAATGAACGCGCTTTCTGACAACAGAAGAGGTGCTTTTTGTATGTGGTCTGCGCCATGCCCAGTGCTGGGTAACGGGCCAATAGGCACGCATCCTGACACGTGACACGTGTTTTCCATATGGTCTGACCCGAGTCTGTATAACTAGAGGTGAACAATAGTTCAGTAGTTTTGCTCAGGTGAAGGTTCAGCTGTGGAGTGGTAACTAGCGGACAACGGAAGCTAAGATTCGGTACCAGGAAACGTCTAGTGATAATATTGCAGAGGAATTGTCATTGCCGAGAGCTGTTGCCCAGTAGTGAGTAGTGGAAATA